TGGAGGACAGGCAGGAGTCAGGGATGGTTCCTGGGAACCTGGATGGAACAGGGACCAGGAGGAAAAGCAGGTCTGTTGGGGAACACGGGGAGCTCCGGTTCTGATATGCTGAGCTTAGGTCCCTATGGAACATACACCAACAATAGGGTTTCTTGAACGCTACATTATTGACACTTTGGGCAGGATAGCTCTTGTTGTGGGACTGTCCTGTGCACTGTAGTATGTTTAGCAGCATCCTCAGCCTCTACCCACTAGATGCCAGTACAGTGTGACAACCAAAGATATTTCTAGCCACTGCCATATGTTCCCTCGGGGGGTGGGGGGAATTACCCCAGTTGAGAACCACTTATCAAAAGAGAAAGACCTTAACTCATGGTTTTTTCCCTTAGTTTCCTTTAAACATAGAAATATAATTCACCATTTAAAAGTGTACAGTTCATGTTTTCAATATATGCAACCATCACTACTAATCGTAGAACATTTTCCTCACCCCAAAAAGAAACTCCATATCCATTAGCAGTCGTTCCCCATTTCCCCTCCCCCAGTCCCTGGCAAACTTTGTATGGATTTGCCTATTACTGCATTCATTTAAGAATAATATGATTTAAGAATCATATGAGGCCTTTTATGTCTGGCTTCTTTCACTTGCACATATATTCAAGGTTCATCCATGTTGCAGCATATGTTACTTCATTTTCTTTTATGGCCAAATAACAATGCTGGATATACCACCATTTGTTTATCTAATCATCAGTTGAAGGATATTTGGGTTGTTTTCACTTTTTAGCTTTTATGAATAACGCGGCTATGAACATTCATGTACAAGGTTTTGTGTGGACATATTTTCTCACTTTTCTGGGGCATACATCTAGGAGTGGAATTGCTGGATTGTGTGCTAACTCTGTCTAAAACTCTTGAAGAACTGCCAAACTATTTTCCAAAGTGGCTGCACCAGTTTACTTCCCAACAGCAGTGTATGAGGTTTCCAATTTCTGCACATGCTTTTTATCAGTTACAATCATTTTTAACTCATATATTTTGTTTTAAAGTTTCCAAGCAAGCATTTAATATTAGGCTGTGCTGTTTGACAACTTTATGGATGAGAAAACTAATGGTCAGAGGAGGGTGATTAACACAG